GTGCTTTAATGTTCCAAGACAAACAGTTGCCATTTCTGGCAATTCTGCCAGAGTTTATCTCTGAAAAACAAGCAGCTTTTACTTAGTGCCACACTGGCATTTTCCACAGGAACCAGAGATCTACCCTGCTTGACAGGTAGAGAGATCATTTGCTGTCTTTTCAATGACACACACACACACACCCCTCTGCCAATTGTGCTTGAAAACTCAGAAAGCTTCTTCTTAGAGCTATGGCGGAATCTGACCTTACTTGGTTGGATTTGCCCTGTATCATTTGTGTAAAAAGTGTATTGAATTCCATTATCATGAGATAATTCAGAATCCAGTTAAGAGAAGAAACAAAAATTTTAAAAATGTCAGGTTGGTTAACTTATGTATAGCTAATTATTCTTCTAGCTCAGTGTTCTGCCTTTGAATGGTATCTGGAGAAAAACTCATAAAGTTAGAGGGTGGTATTACGGGGAAGTTATTTATTTATTTATTTATTTATTTATTTATTTATTTATTTATTTATCATTTCAAATTTAGTCACCGCCCATCTCATGAAGAAGTTGCTTCAAGTTAGATATTAAGAAGAATTTCCTGATGGGTAGAGCTGTCAACGAGTGGAATAGGCTGTCTCATGAAGTGGCGGGTTCCTCTTCACTGGAAAGTTCATAGCCATCTCTCTAAAATGCTTCCATTGATTCCTCAAGCAGGGGGCAGCAGCATCAGTGAGTGGTCAGAAAATGAAAGACGGTGATTGCAATCATGTGGCTGAAGCCCCATCCTTTTGTACATGCATGACATTGACACATACAAAAGAAGTGGGCCTTCAATCACACCATTCCAATGGCCATCTTGATTCTTTTGACCCCCTCCCCCCAGTAGAGGTTGGACTAGGTGACATCTGAGATTGATCTGAACTCTACAATTCTCTGTTTCTGACAGGGATCTTAACACAAAGGTTCTTATGGGAGGATGATATTTTTAGATACATGAGTCTTGGAGTTTTTAGAGTTTATAGGCAAATAGTAGCAGACTAGGTTGGCCTGATCCCCATTGCCAAATGATTCAGCAGGAGAGAGCAGGTGGAGGAGCAACAGAATTAAGTGGCTGTTCCTTGTGTCATGTCATGTCATGTCATTGGGCTCTGGGCAGCTTACATTTCAAAAGTAAGAACAATAAAATGAGAAAAAAAATCTTGTGTGATGAATCTTCAGTGTAGCCCTACACAATGGAGCAGCAAGTTTCGGAGAAAGTATCTGCTCATCCTTTCTCTCTAATCCTCTATTCTGGGGTATCTAGAGAAGGAGGAAGGAGGATCAGTTATGTCTTCCCTTATTTGCACACCATTAGAAAGTTCAGAGGAACTTCTGCCAGGTGAAGAACTTGAGGTTGTCCTGACTGAGGAAATAGAGGAAAGAGGAGTGATAACTACTGTCTCTTCAGTCATTTCTCTTTGCTTACTGACTTCTTCTTTAACCAAGAAGCCATGATTCTTGATTGTGGTTTAGCATAGTAAAGAGCTGTTCATTCTTCAAAAATGATTTGGAAAAAGCACTTCAAACTTTGTATGAGTAAGTTTGCTTTAGTTTCCTGCTTTTGGTCCACCTTTAGCTGTAAGGCAACTCTGTGGTCATGTTTAAGAATTGGATTAAAGACATGAAGCTTTAATGCTCTTTTTTGTTTGGTTTTATGTCCAAGCCTTTGCTGACTGTGACTCTACATCCATAAACTTTGATATATCACAGATTTCTGGTTCAGTACAGTAATAATGTATTTTTTGTATTTAGCTTTGCTCTTTTGTTTCTAAACTTGTCAAGTGTGATAGCCATTGTCATTTTGTTGCTAGACACCCAGCAGTGTTCTGTTGTTCTCTTTCTGTGATCTGTCTTTTAATAGGTCCTCCTTGAGAATTGATCTGGCACTATTGATTTGTCTGTTGATCTTGCTGGATGGGTAATTCGGTCTCCTGAATGTCTGGTTTATTTCCATCAGTTGAGCATTTCTGTCAAGTGGGTCAGAACAAATCCGGTTGTAACATAGAGCCTGGCAGTAGATCCTAGATTTAGTGGTATGTTCTGGGTGGAAGCTGGAAGCATGTAGGTATGCATGATGATCTGTAGGTTTCCTGTACAATGTGGTGTTTATGTGTCCATTCTGTAGTTTTATGGTGACATCAAGGAAGTGGACTTGTTCTGTAGATAATGTAGGCTGAGGTTGATGGTGGCGTGGAACTTCTTGAAATAGAAATAGATCTTCAGTGATTTATCCAATTGTTTAAAAGGTTTTAGTTTCATCTACCTAAAAATGTTTAAGTTCACATGCTTTGGAAGTAGGTATGGAATGCTAAACCAGGAGCTTTCCATAGAATGAATATAATTACAAATTAAAGTGAAGAAATTATTTGTTATGTAGCAGAAATGAGGGAAACCTGGAAAATATTTTAGAGATTGGTAGAGGAATGATAATGATATCCTGAACAGTGGAATTGAAACAAATGCTATGCAACTTACTATCCAAACAACAACAACAACAACAAATAAATGAGGAAGTTGAAAAATAATAAGGCTGCAGGTGTAGTGTAACTAAAGATATGGATGTGGAATGCTTATGCTGCTATGCAACTTGCTTAATATGGCTGTAAAAGATGCATCTGTGCTTGATGATTGGAAGAATAAGAGTAAATGCAAAAACTACATTATTATGTAGTTATGGATTCGTTTTTTTAGGCGTGCCCAGGAAGGTGTTTGGCAGAATTTGGATTGAAAGGGCACAGAAGGTGACAATGAGCAGAAACTGGAAAGTCCAATGCCTCTTTTAACCAGGAGGGGCATGCAGGTCAGATTTCTGCTGTTCAGCAACACTGAGAAATGGATATATGAACAGATATTGTACAGTTGTTGATTTAGTGAATAAATGTGATCAAATGAATATGGCATTGAAGGTTGGTTGCTGAAATTTTGTGGCAAAATAGTTGAATTTCAACAGCACAATTTGAGGCTGTTTCCCAAGAGCAGTGTAAGTTAAGTCTGAGAATGGTAGCAGTTTGTCTTACAGAAGCCTCGCATACTTATTCCCACCCTTAACCTGCCAGTGTCAAATATCCCAACTCCCACCAAATTCGGTGCCCTTTATAATTCATTCATCCTTCTCCAATGATATTATGTTGTGATAAGAGAGCCCCTGCAGTTCTCCAGAAGGTTGAGAGGTTGAGTTGTGGCCCTTGATCTTTCAGATATTGTCCTTCTCTGCACTAAAAGAAGTAAACATGACAGTAAGCTTACTTAACTGGAAATACTGAGTACAGTATGCTGTTTAGGAAATAGAAACTTTTGCAACTTGCACATAGCTTGTATAAGCAAACCGTTCAATGTTTAGTTTTAGACAAATCCTTTGTTTTTTCTTTCATCGCTAAAAACATATTCTTCCTAGTTATTTGACAGTTCTTCCAATTTCCCCGACAGTCTGCAAAGTGCTAATTCATCTGCCAATAAAACAAATTTAAAGAGTTTAGAGTAAAATGGTGGCATTTGGGTCTCATCAGTTGTGAGTGTTGAGTTTGTGCATGTGTGTGTGTGTAAAGCTATATAATTATATGAAATATATGGTCTCATCAGTTGTGAGTGTTGAGTTTGTGCATGTGTGTGTGTGTAAAGCTATATAATTATATGAAATATATGGTCTCATCAGTTGTGAGTGTTGAGTTTGTGCATGTGTGTGTGTGTAAAGCTATATAATTATATGAAATATATAGTAAGTTGTATATAACTTGTCTAGTTATAAGTTATGTCATGACTTAACCAGACTTGTGACTGAGTTTAACAGAACATAAATTCAGCTAAATTTGTCTGATACAACTCATGGTTTATTATAGCAACAGTTCTGAGTACCTTGCCTGCTATTCACATGTCTCCGTACAAGTTTCTCATACATGTGAAGCTTTTAAGTTTGTATAATGAGAATGCAGTGCAACAAGAGGGAGAGATCCCCCAAAACTGGGAAATACATTCCTTACATAGAGTTGACCAATCAGTACCCACTGGCCATTTAATTCTCTGTTACTCAACAGATGATACATAATCCATCCTTGCTTGCTTTCTATGACTGGTTCATGGTTTCTTCTTTCTACTCCTTTCATTGCTTATCCTTGTGGCTGCCATTGCTCTTTTGAAAACCACCACGAGTGAGTGAGTGAGTGCATGTGTCAGTGTTTCTCAACCTCAGGAACTTTAAGACGTGTGGACTTCAACTGCCAGAATTCCTCAGCCAGCCATGCTGGCTAGGGAATTCTGGGAGTTGAAGTCCACATGTCTTAAAGTACCCGAGGCTGAAAAACAGTGGTGTGTGTATTCATATGCAATAATATTATGGTTACTACTGAGGCTACTATAAACAGCAAATTGATAAATAAATGGAGGCACCCAGAGTGGCAAGTAAGAAAGTATTTATTAATGAATAACTGCACATTTCAGTAATATTCCAATAATGACTTTTCTAGACCCTGCTGGTTTGTTGTTGTCTTGTGGTGCCTAATACAACAAGGATGAGGAATGCATAAGAGCCTCCAAATCATGTAGGAAGGAATCTCTCATCATTTCCTAAGCATTGGAGTTCTAGTTAGGGCTGATGGGAGTTGGAGTTCAACAACTGGAAACTCTTGCACATTGTCAATTTTGATTTAAAGGGAAGGGATTCCCATGCTGGTCCATAAGAATATTATTAGCTTTTTTCTCCCTGTGTGGCAACCTTGAACACAAAGTTGTATTAATCTAGCTGTACTTTTAAGCATGCGAGAGATAAAGAAAGTGGGGGGAGGGAGAGAAAGGAGGTCAATTGTCAGAGCATGAAAATTTATTTGGCTCACATATATTATTACATATTAAAGGGTTAACTGTAGGCTGGGATATTTAAACACTTCTAACTAGGTACGCACAAGCTTGTTTGTTCAGGTAAATAAGGAAGGAATTAGATATAATGGGGAAAGAAGGCTTTTCCTGAACACTGCATTCCTTGTATTCAGCTACAGATCTATCTTTGGTGCATAACTTTTTTCAGATGCTGATTAGATGAATGCATTTCTTCTCATATTCATTCTCCATTGCACAGTTTCTCTGAACAGTGTGGCTACCTGCCTGCATTCCTTAGTGTGTGGCAGATGTTTATGGGGGTATCTTTTCTTTGCAGGTTTGATATGTCTTTGAGCATTTCACTCCCTGCATACAATACTTGGTTTCAGATGCAGGGATAAAGCATAGCTTTTGTTCTTTTAACCACCTTAATCAACTCTTGGCTATTCCAACCTCTCTTCTTTGACCCCTCTGTGCTCAGTGAAGGTGCTTAAGGTTGGCTGGAGCATTTGCCTCACTATTGGACTGATGCTGCTGCTGGTAACTGATACATCTCTGAACATCTAAAGGGTAAGTGTGAATGTTTATAACTGATCAATTTAAGAAGCAGACCTCTTCATTACTCTAAAAATGCCAATGCCTTCTTTCTGCAAAGTCTTCAAGGAGAATGATCAAGATTTTAAGATTTGTTGGCCAATCCTTATGTGTTTGCTATCTTCACTACAGCTGAACGCCAGCTCACTGAGTGCTTTTTCCATTCTTTGCAATTAGAGAACAATTCACTGAAGTATCCCTGGGATATTCAACAACCTTTTCAAATTGAATGGCTAATCCCTTTCTTACTGCTTTGCTGACGTGGTATAGTTATGTAGTCACAAATGCTCTCCATTAGGCACAAATCTGCAGTTCAGTGAACTAGTGCCAATTCAGTACTGACATGTCATTACATTGTGGGCCATATGTGTTGCATTAATATGCACACCTAATAATCTACAGTTTGTGGTAACTGCCTTGTATATTACAGAAGTTGTATTGGAACAGACTCTTTCTTTGTCCATTGTTCCTCCTTAGCCAGGAATAGTTTGATACTTCTTTTGCTTCCTTCCATGTTAGACATATAGAGAATGATAGCCAAGATACAGCCTTAGAAGAAGGAACTGGAATTCAAGGGCTTGGGTACAATGTCTCTATGTAGATTGTACTAACTATGCTGATCTCAGGATGTCACCAGTGCGCTATGATGGGAGTCAGCTCTGGTGCCATGTGGCTTGAGAGGAACAGATATTAACACATAAAAACAAAATACTGCTCCCTTTAATGGATACCTAATATACTTGTAATAAATAAGTAAATAAATAGTGACTGCTGGGGGGTGGAAGATATCCATTAATAATTTGCATTTTGCAATATATTTTTCTCCCCACTCCTCATGTCAGCAACCTCTCATTTCCCACCCTCAAACCACAAGCAAATTGGCATCATTAATTGATTTTTTCTTTCTGTGGTTATGCTTGGTTAGTGAAACACAAATGACAGCTCACCTGCCAAATCCTTCACAACCATTTCTCATGGGTCCAGGATCCTTGTCGGGCAAGTGGCTTCCCAGGAGAGGGAAGAGGGTTTTAAAATAGGGGCTTCTCAGCATTTTGAGGAGAACATCAAGCTCTGCTGCCCAGCTGGGGCATACTCAGGTTTATGCTCAGTTGACATTTGGACCACTCCCCATACTGTTTTCATCTCAGAGGTAATCAATAGAGTGCAGGTGGAGAGAGGGCACTCTGACCCTGGACATGGAGACTTGTGTATGCAAAAGCATATGAACATCAAAGCCAACTCAGAATAGGGGATGTCATCATACATGCATCTCAGCAGTGATCCAGGTGAATTCCTGGATGTTGGTTGCCACCTCTTCTGATCTAGAGATAGGACTGAAGATCTAAGACAACATGAGCATTTCTTCAAACACATGGTGTTAATTTCTGGAAGATGAACATAGAGAATTTCCTTGGAGGGAGATTGGGTGATCAACTGAAAATTGAGAATGAAATCCTGGGGAGACATAAAGGTGAGAACATATAAAGGAATGGTCCCAGAAATGATTCACTGGAATATGTCTCTATTTAATATTAAATATTAATATTAATATTAATCTCTTAATATTAAACATATTAAGAAAAATATGTTTGCTTTTTTCTACACTAAATTTTGCTTACTTCTTAGGCTTTCTATTGGATATAAAATGTCATCATTGCCATTAAAAAATATTGTGGTACCAAAATGTTTGTTCTTTGATTGTGAAAATTTTGAAGATCAGAGCTTTAATCAATTTTCAGAGTGAGCACATTGGATAATATAGAGCAAATCAGTCTTTCCCAGTCTCAATTCTTCACCTGTAAAATGGGCATATGGACCCATTCTAGGCAGTTGTGAGAGTATGAGTCAAGTATTCTGCCCAAAGCTATTCATAATTGTACCTTAATAACAACAACAAAAGAATACCAATAAATAATAATATAGCTAGGACATGGGAAATATAAAAGTGGATCAGTGAGTGATTCAATGTGTTCTATTCATAGTTATTCTTATAAATACTTAGGATGAATCCTTTTATTTATATAGCATATCATTGGCTTAAGGATTCCTTCTTGTTCTTTGCATAATTTTGAGCACAATGTGTTCAATAGTGATAAGCTGCAATGTGAACAGTTTAGTATAGAATCAGTATAGGAGTGAGTGGTTTTTTATTGTTAATATAGCTATGAACAATGTATAATAAGATTCTGTAGTTACAATATGACTATGTTAATGTGGAGTGAGAAACTTTAGCAATATGGTGAAATAATTTTTCACCCACTGAGTTGAAGATACCTTACCTGGGTTTTAAAAAGAAACAAAATCATTTAATACTCACTTGGGACTTGTGAGTATCTAAAAATTTGGAATCAAAATTTCATTCTCCTTTTCCCCAGTTTTCCACCTACAAAGTGGGGACAATACTGCCACCTCTCTGAGATAGCTGGACTGGTGCTTTTATTGGGACGTCCTATATTGGGGAGATGACACAGGTTCTTAGGTTTGTTTCTTAAAAGTGTTGTGGGGAATTATAAACAAATCACAAATGTAATAATGATAAAGAAGCTACTGTACCATCAATATTAAATCTATTAATGTGTTGGATTCTTAGTTCCCTGTGATGGGTTAATGATCAACCTGAGGTATAGTGCACCTCACATCTGAAAAGAAGCAATCAGAAGTATCTCAGTTTAGTTCCATTTCAAAAGCTCACATCTTACTTTTCTTATTAGCATTTTCTCAAGCATAATATAAATTCACGCAGCTGCAGATAATTATATTCCTAGACCTCCAATTATAAATGTAGCTGACCAAGCTTGTTATGAATAGGTGTGGATCAGAACCAGGGACAGTTCTCAAAGACTTACATGTCTTTTTTCCTTTGACATGTTGTGAAGGAGATCTCACTTACATCCCTCATTATGTTAACGAAATGAAAATTCTGATCTTAGAGAGGTTCATATAGTGACTGGGCTTTCCAAGTTATGTGAATTCACAATGACAATGAAGTCAAATAATCACAATGTAATGTTTAGTCTGTGATGGAAATATGTACATTGGCTATAGTAGGTGTTGAATTTCATATATATATATATTTCTGTGTATCTCAATCCTCATTCAAAAATCTGGTATTTAAAATGTTTGACAACTAAAATAATGTTCCCTTTTGAACCAAGGTGCAATATTATCCTATAAGCGTAGGTTGCAATCTTTTGGATAGACATGGATACTGTACTATAAAGCAAAATACTCTTGAAATTCAGTTCCTCGGATAGCAAAGTATCTTCCATGTCCAATCACATAAAA